ACGATGAACAGGCGGCTAGAGAAAAGCAAAGACATGGTTGGCGGCATCCGATTTCGGATATGCCAGTCACTGTGGCCAGCCACAGGACTCCTGCGCCCAAAGAGGGATCATGAGTTGCTTGCGCTGCACCACCCACAGCTCCATCCACACACCCCATATCCAGTGTAAACCCGAAGGACTTGTAGTGGACTGGGACCCAAAGGGAAATAAAGATGAATAAATGATGAGCAGAAATGGCAAGACTCACATAAGGGTTTCGACGTGGGTTAGAAGTCCAACCACATAAACCTTCCTAGTCCTCTTGCGTCAGACACTCCGATGGATGACAAAGGAAGATGGTGAAACCAGTTGAGACGGAACGAGATCTGTAGATGAATATTGCTCTAGGTTAGAATGTAGTGACCGACAACGCCATAAAATCCGCGGCACAAGAACACATGGAGAACACGTCGATTTGCCCGCGTGGTTCAAAATGTGTTTTAGTTATCAATCAAAACAAGTATACATGGTTAAGGTACAAGAATTGGTTGTAATAGGAAAGGAATGTACACTGAAAGATAAGTAAATTTACAGGCGCTACAGACTAAGACCGGAAGGCAAGTGGATGTGAGCCACGTTTCCTCAACGGAGTCTGCTCAAACTCCATCAAAGGCGAAGGCTACAAAATTGGGTAAGGACAGCTTTCATATATGACGTTTCAAACGGGATAGTTCAAGCAACTGGACGGAAAGTCCACGACGGAATTCGTTAGGAACGTATTGTTAGCGGGCAGGACGAACGATCTTGTAAGGAAAGTGAACTGGCTAGTTCACACGAAGCAAAGAATTTCAGGTACGCCGCTGTCCCGCGCTATAGCGCGTAGATCGTGCGCTATAAACTCGGTACGCGACTAGACGACCAACCAAAAGTAGTGGGTAGAAGACACAAAAGTAAACTAGGGAAGAAGTTTATTGGACGGGAGGAGCGTTAGCTAATGCTAAAAATAGGGCACCCGGAGAGAGCTAGCTAGGGAGAATGTCGTTGGCGTCGAGAGCGTAGACGGAGCGTCGTTGGCAGTCGAGCCGCGCGCCAAAGGCGGAGATGGCGTTCGTGTTTACAACAAACGGGAACAACGTTCCAACAGGCAAACCGCCTAGTTCCCTAATACATAAGAAAGCTATAATTTTAATATTTTAGAATAGTTTACACAGTCATACGGGGGAATCTCCAGGTCGCTACACAGCCCCCCTCCTAGAAGGGAAACCGTGGGTGACCCTTCGATCTACGTGAGGACTGTCCGTCGCGGGCCAGCCTTCTGCGAGACCAGGTAGTGAAACCTGATGCAGCTGCTGGGGGAGAACCAGGCGATCGGACCCTAGCGGGCTCCCACTCGTGTCCTCCCTAACGGTGCCAAAAACACAAAATGGGGGGAAAGTTCGTAAGGGTCAATGGTTCGCGAGTTCGTGAAGGTCAAATGTTCGCTTCAGGCTCGTCATCTCCTCCGGTTCATACATGGAAGGTAAACGGAAACAAGAGCAGTGACGGTGGAGGCGAGAGCAAAAATAAGAGTGACACTTACCGGATGAGGTAGGCGTCAGGCACAACGCAGCTTTTTGTGTTTTCAAAACGTTTTGTTCTTTTTTGGGGTTTCAAAACATTTTGCGTTCTTTTTGGGTTTTCAAAAAAACTTTTGTCGTTTTTTTTGGCGTTTTCAAAAGCTTTTGGGGGTTTGTACGTTGTTGGCCAAAAGGAAAAAGAAAAACGATAAGGAAAGTGAAAGGAACACTAATCCCTTAATCGCGCTGGCCAATGAACACGTCTACCCGACCTAGTCGACTTGTTCGAATCAGAGGAAGGCGTCGTCTTAGACGTCCTATCGGATCGCAAAATTGGAGGAACTGCTGAAGACGTGGCAGTTGGTTCGATGGGAAACGGTGGAGCTGAAGTGGAAGGCTTGGATGGGGCGTGAAACTTGGGGTCAGGGATGTTGCAAGCAGTCGAGTCTTCCATCATAGGCTGCGTTGATTCGTCAGAAGACGAGTAAGGGTCTTCGTTGAGCTCAGGTTCCACGTGAGCAACCTTGAGACGGTCAATCGTAACGGCTTCGCGTTTACCGTGACGGTTGATGATAAAAACGCGGTCCTTACGCTGCAGGACCTTGAAAGGACCTTCGTAAGGTCGCTCCAGTGGTCTGCGGAGACCATCGAGGCGGAGGAAAACGAACGGACAATGCTGCAGGTCTTGTGGAATATAAGATTTACGTTGTTGTTCTCTAACGTCGGGAAGCTTGTACTGACGCATGCTCGTGGCAAGCTGACGTGCATAATTTGCGTCGTAACGGGTAATTCTGGGACTAACGGAGAAGAAATCGCCAGGTAAACGCAGTGGTTGTCCATATACTAACTCAGCGCTGGACGTACGTAGATCGGCCTTTAGGGCTGATCGGATCCCAAGGAGGACCATAGGCAGCACCTCAGTCCAACTCAGCGCATTGGCGGCGCTAAGTGAGGCTTTCAACTGTCGGTGGAAACGTTCCACCATGCCATTCGCTTGCGGATGATAGGCGGTCGTGCGAATGCGTCGACATCCAATGAGTTTAAGGAGGTCGTTAAAGGTCGTAGATTCGAATTGCGGACCGCGGTCTGTAGTCACTGTGGCTGGACAGCCGTGTGAAGCGATCCAGCGCTCGACAAAAGCGCGTGTTACGGTTTCCGCAGCTACGTCAGGGATGGGAACGGCTTCGGGCCAACGGGTGCAACGATCGATCATGGTCAAAATATAGACCATTCCTTTTGACGGGGCCAGTGGTCCCACTATGTCGAGATGAACATGGGCAAATCGCGCTGAAACGGGCGGAAAGCGACCAAGCGGAGCGGACACGTGCCGCTGAATCTTGGCTTGCTGGCAGGTGAGACAGCTGCGTGCCCAACGTGTAAGATCGCGTTGCATCCCCGGCCAAACGTATCTCTCAGAGATAAGCTTGGCAGTAGCTTTAATGCCTGGGTGGGCGATATTGTGGAGGGTGTCGAAAACGATACGGCGAAAAGTTTCTGGAACGACGGGTCGAGGTCGTCCGGTAGATGTGTCGCATAAAATGGTACCGTCAGATGACGGCAAAGGGTGCGGGGATATTTTCAAAGAAGAATCGCGAAGTTCCGAAAAGGTTTGGTCGTTTGATTGCGCGGCGGCCATAGCAGACAAATCGATTGCCTGCCCGGCAGGGCCGATCGCAGATACTCTTGAAAGAGCATCAGCGACGACGTTTTGTTGACCAGAAATGTGTCGGATATCCGTAGAGAATTGGGCAATGAAATCCAGCTGACGAATCTCACGTGGTGAGTGTCGAGCTGATTGATTTCGGAATGCGTAGGTAAGCGGCTTGTGATCGGTGAAGATAATGAAGGTGTTACCTTCAAGAACGTGTCGGAAATGTCGAACGGTAGAGTAAACGGCTAGCAGTTCGCGACTGAACGTGCTGTACTTAAGTTCGGCAGGCTGTAGGCGTCTAGAGTAGAAGGCAAGAGGTTTCCAGTCTCCATTTGTATGTTGCTGTAGGACGGCGCCAATGGCGCTGTCCGATGCGTCGACAGCAACACTGAGCGGAGCGTTCGGATCAAAGTGATGGAGCATAACGGCTTTAGCTAAGGCTTCTTTGCTGGCCTTGAACGCTTCGACAGCAGCAGCAGTCAATTCTACCTGGCCGTTTTTGCGTCCACGAAGTAGGTCGGTTAGTGGACTTAGCAAATTGGCACAGTGTGGAAGAAAACGTCGATAATAGTTGAGCATGCCGTTAAAACGGCGAATAGCGGCTAACGTAGTCGGAACCGGAAAGTCTCTGATGGCGCGGACTCTATCGTCTAGAGGCCGTATGCCATACTGATCAATATGGTGGCCAAGGAATTCGATGGAAGGCTGCTGAAATACGCATTTGTCGGGGTTGACAGTGATGCTATTAGCGGCCAACCTATCGAAAAGTATTTTGAGATGTTCTGCGTGCTGTTCTTCAGAGGCGCTGGCAACTAGGATATCGTCGATGTATGCATAGACGAAATTTAGACCTCTAGTGACTGAATCGATGAGTCGTTGAAAAGTCTGGGCTGCGTTGCGAAGACCGAACGGCATACGCAAAAATTCGAACAGCCCAAACGGCGTGATTACGGCAGTCTTCGGTATGTCTTCCTCAGCGACTGGAATCTGGTGATACGCGCGAACCAGATCGATTTTTGAGAACACACGGGTGCCGCGCAGGCTTGCCGTGATGTCCTGAATGTGAGGAATCGGATATCGGTCGGGAACAGTAACGTTATTGAGCGCGCGGTAATCACCACATGGACGCCAGTCTCCTGACTTTTTGGGCACCATGTGGAGCGGCGACGCCCAGGGACTGTTAGACGGGCGAACGATGCCTAGTTCAAGCATGTGCTCGAATTCTGCGCGAGCAATTTTCAACTTGTCAGGGGTCATTCGCCTGGCTTTGGCAAAAGCAGGCGGACCTTTCGTGACGATATAATGTTTCGCGGCCTCAGTGGCGGATGAAAACGGTGTCATTGCACGAAAGACTTGCGGGAACTTCGTATTAAGCATCTGACCGATAGGCGAGCTTGACAGGTTGGCGTATAAAGGACTGATTGACTCTATGTCGGTCAAAGTACCTATAACTGCCAGGTTTGTTTGACGGTCGATCAGACGGCGTTGCTTCGCGTCAACAAGTAAATCGAAGTGCTGCAGAAAGTCAAGGCCAAGAATTGGCGTCTGGACATCTGTGACGAGGAAGATCCATTTAAATGAACGTCGTAGGTTTAGATTAAGCGTGCGCGAGCGTTGACCATACACGCGAATGGTGGTGCCGTTTGCAGCACGCAAAGAACCGGTCGCCTCTTCGATAACGTCATTAGAATCACGTGGGATAACGCTGACTTCTGCGCCGGTGTCAACGAGATAGCGTACTCCCGTACTGCGATCGGTGACAAAGAAAAGGCGACTGGGGCAGCCAGCAACGTCCGTCGCCCCTACGTGCTGGCCTACCCGTTTCCCTGCATGTTGCGCTTGAAAGAACAAGGTGGGCGACACGATCTGGCCTGATGACCAAATCGCTCGTGGTACCAGCAATAGCTTGACCTAGGGGGAGATTTCGAACGTGATCTAGGAGGACTGCGACTACTGGGACGATTTCGGCGGTTGGATCCGGATTGTGTTAGCTTCTCTAGTCGGTTGGTCAATGCGGATACTTGCGCTCTTAGTTCTGCTACCTCTGTACTGGAGGTAGACTGAACCTGAGATATTTGGGCGTTGGATTCCCAAATACGGTCAGCTATATCGGCTAGCTGAGGAAGAGGCGCATCGTTTGCATACAAGGGATTGCGCATGTCACGTGGCAGGCAACGAAGCCACATCTCTTTAAGGAAAGAGTCGCCAACAGCGAGAGGCTTAGCTAGAGCTCGCATCTTGTGCAGCAACTGCGAAGGCTTTCGATCCCCTAGCTCGGTTTCATTAAGAAGCTGCGTGACGCGAGCATGGTCTGATATGCCAAATCGCTTTAAGACGACGGCCTTAAGCTCATCGTAACTTTTCTGATATTCCGTAAGTTCCAAGACATCGTCGAGGTCATCGACGACATGCGGGGGAAGCGCGGCGACAACGCAGTGAAATTTGACGCTGTCAGAGTTAACGCCATGTAACGAAAAGATGGACTCTAGCTGGTTAAACCAGGCCTTAGGGTTAGTATCACGGAAAGGCAGGATAGGAAAACGGAACGCACTAACCTGATCGTCAGGTGAGTGAATAACCTTCATGGTGAAAAATTACGGAGCGTGTGAAAGTAAATGCAAGTATTAAAAAGTAAAAGTAGAAGGGTAGACAGAATAAATAACCGGATTTGAAAAAAATATTAGTACCGAACTCACCAAAAATAGTTTTTTTTCGGGGTCACCAATTATAGCGCGTAGATCGTGCGCTATAAACTCGGTACGCGACTAGACGACCAACCAAAAGTAGTGGGTAGAAGACACAAAAGTAAACTAGGGAAGAAGTTTATTGGACGGGAGGAGCGTTAGCTAATGCTAAAAATAGGGCACCCGGAGAGAGCTAGCTAGGGAGAATGTCGTTGGCGTCGAGAGCGTAGACGGAGCGTCGTTGGCAGTCGAGCCGCGCGCCAAAGGCGGAGATGGCGTTCGTGTTTTCAACAAACGGGAACAACGTTCCAACAGGCAAACCGCCTAGTTCCCTAATACATAAGAAAGCTATAATTTTAATATTTTAGAATAGTTTACACAGTCATACGGGGGAATCTCCAGGTCGCTACAGCGCTATTATCGGTAAGCCGTAGTATTGCATAAGCAGCAGTTACAGACGCTGTCCTGCCGAAAAGTTTCGCCAGAGGCACTAAAATTACCAGCGCCGAAAGGTGCGCCTTAATGTAGAGCGAAGTAAAGAGTGAGAGGATAACAAACCGAAAATCATATCCCACCCTGGCAAAGTATAAAGGCACTGTATTGGTGCATTTCTACTACAATTTCACTAACCTTTTTTATTCTTGTATAAAAGGTTGAAGCGGTACTAATACTTCATAGTACAGCGACGTAAAACCGCTGCTAGCATCCTTGAAAATTTCGTACAACGTATGAAGTACCCACAAAGATGCGTTAGTGGACAACGTTTACATCCCACACGCACGCGTTCGTGTTCGCGGTGGAGCGGGTGTACAGCATGTTGAAAGCTTAAAAGGTAGCAATACAATAATGGCTTATGACGTTTCCGTGCTCCATACGTTTATGCGTTGTAGTAGTTTAGGGCGCCCATGTGTGGGTACGTGCGCACCCCTACAGGGATCGCGGAATTGCAGTAAAAGTTATGTACAATAGCTCAACTTGAGTTGTTGAATGCTGTTACCACCAGATGCGGAGCGCTTGAATTTAGTCCAAGTTGGAACGAAATTCGGGTGCTCAGAGTGAACCGCGGGTTTTTGTAGGTAAGAGGGTTTAGAAAGCCGAAGGGTGCGTTCATATAAACCCCTGTAGTGGTAATCGAAAGGTGTTTCAAGTGATGCAAATTGTGATTCGCGTACGGGTATGCTGCAGCAAAAGCTTAGCTGAGCGCCCGGATTTAGTCGTAGTTGGTACTAAAATCGGGCGCTTAGTAATGAACGCGACCTTTCCATACAGAGTAATAAATGTTGGCCTGCAACACGTTGTTCATGCACTACCATTGAGTAATCACTGCGTCGCATTAAACTTAATGGAGAATAGTTACACATAAAGGGTGAATGCGGCTGCAATATTATACTGAGCGCCCAAGTTTAGTACCAAATAGAACTAAATTCAAGCAACCAGGACCGCCGGAAAGTTGTATTATTAGAACATATTTCGGGTGTCTATCGAAAGACTGACGGGCGCTTGTCGTGCGTTCGTTCCGGCAGGTTGAACTGCTTTTGTTCGGTCAGCAAACATCAAATAATATTCGTATTTCGCCCTTTGCAAGGAGTAAGAAATCCGTTTTTCTTCGAGCCCTCTGTGGTATATTTTCCAGAAACTCTGGAAAAACTGAAATTTCGTTAAGTGAGCTCGCTAAGTTTCCTCTAATTTTAATGGCGTTTGACGTTTACTCTCACAACTGTTAATTACTTGAGCAAGTGGGTTGCACTTTAGGTTTATCCCAGCAGATGACGTAGCGCGGTCATAGTGAAGAGGTACAGACTTATAAAATTGACTCTGCTGTGATCGGGAGCTGAGCTCTAACCGATGGGGAGTTTTGTTACGGGCTAAGGCGAAATGGCACAGTAGGCATCAAGAAGGCGATCGCGAGACTTAGGAATTAAGTGTTATGGTTTCAATAATAAAAAGGAATACAGTGCATACGTTTAAAAGTGCCACAATAATCTTACATTTGTAATAAAGTATTTTACCGTAACGATGGTAACATGTCCCGGAAAATTCCCAGGGGAATACTTGCAACCAACTACTAATATTTCTAGCTTTTTTTAACGGTGAAGTATCTTAGTGGTCTACTAAATGCCAGCCTATTTCAATTATCCCATGAAGGAAATGTATAACTCAGGCTTATCTCGCATGGTGTGTTGTAATTGTTCGTTGGTGATAACTTATTATTAAATATCATTTACTGCAACGGGGAAATCAGAGAATCCGTGACGTGAAATACATATAACCATGCAGAAATATGAAACTAAATGGTTGGATGTTGATTGCTAACCAGTGCAGGAGGACCTGAAGTCAAATTTTGTTGAAATATGCACTTAAATGTAGGAAGTTGTACGAGTTATCAGAAGTAAAAAAACTAGTTAATGAGCAGCATAAATCAGCTGCTGAAAAAGCGACCAGCTTAATGGGAACTCATAAGAAGTGTTGAGTTGTGTACTGTGTTAAAGTATCAGCAACTTAGTGACGCGGAATTCCTAGCGAGTTAAGATTTTACTGGTCATTAAGTAAGCATATTGCGCAAAGTTGGTGCAACCGGACTAAAGAATAGAAATAGCCTTATATGTAACGCATAAAAGTAAGGGTATGTGGTAGCAACCCAAAAGACATTGCTTATCTTATGTACACTTTTGTTACGCAGTCATACAATATTGGTTTTGTTTTAATGCCGACCCTACGGCCATTCTGATCTACGTCGGGCTCACCACTTGTGTCCACGGGGAGTGCTGACACTGAGGTACGCGCTCGTCGCTCCATCTGTTTTTCGTACGATCGTAGCCTTTCTCGAATACGATCCGGTGTATCCGTCCTTCTGGTTTTCTGGTATCCACACCAGAGCAAGAACACTCTCGGACAGTAAAGACTAGTCCTACAAATTGATGACCCGATTTGCAATCGCGAAGTTTCAAGTTTTTGCTCTTTTCGTTTTCGGTGCGTTCGTTCCAAGCAGCTTTTCCATAAGCCCTAGTGAATTATTTACCGTCCATTGGTTTTTAAAACCATTCTTGTTACTCATTCTATGTCTGATGCTAAAGTAAAACCCGGGTAGGGCGGTAGCAAACTTTTGCTCACCTTGGCTATTTTGGATTTTATGGCACACAAGCCCAACGTCTGAGTCGCCAAGTTTGAGCTAGAGCTAGTGCCCAGAGGGACCCCTGCCGCACAAGATAAATGTAATTAACCCGAACAACCGGCTGGCTAGCCGAACAACCTCCTCGTGGTGTCAGCTGGGTGGTTCGGGTTTAACCCGTTCCAGCAAGTAGTTCGGCGGCAGTGTTCCAGGACGTGGTGGGTTTCGCCTGGCAAGCGTTCTCCCTATAAAAAGCCACAAATGTCTGCTTAACAACACTGTGACGTGGCGGTCGTGACTCGCCACAAAATAAAGTCACTGCCCCGTGGATATCCTGATAATTCTCTCCAACTCACGGACACCAATCTTCTACTCGCATATTGATGACAATATCAAACATTGAAGATTGGAGCAGCACAACTACAAGCACAAAATACACAGCTACATACACCTACACACACAATGACATACATACATACCCCCTACACAAACATAAACTGCTATGGCAAACATATCGGAATTTTGCACATTCTTGATCATGCATTGTATTTTCAAATTGATCATGCCTGTAAAGGCGTGCCTCACCTTGTTGAGAATAAAAGATTTATTTATTTATTAATTTATCCCACGCCTTCCGAAACAGTGGTGACACTGGTTGAATACGTACTGCTTCATCCACCGAAGGGCGGTAAATACGAAGCAATGAAGTGACTGATTCTAAAGGAGTCGCAACCCAGCACTCGAGCCCGATTGGAGCAACTCATTATTAGCACTAAGCTAGGCGATCGCAAGCCCACAGTCTTGCTCCGCGATGTTCAGCAGAGAGCTGGCCATTCGTACATGAGTGAGGAAGATTTAAAATAACTGTGGCCCTCAAGTCCACCTGATCCTCTTCCTTCAATGCTCGTAGCGTACCCAGATACATCGCTCAACGAGCTAGCCATATCAGCAAACGCAGCGTTTGAGAGAATCACACAGCACGCGAAGGCGTCCAGCAACATTTTCGCCACAGTAGCTGAAAAAGACTTCAGCAAGAATGCGTCCGCGCAAGCGGAACCCAGTGATGAATAGATAGTCGCCCTTCACCGCGAATTAGCGGCAATGCAGTTAGAGAGACAAGCGTTAATGAGACCGCACGCCGGACGCAAAATAGCTGCTTTTCGTCACGGCGCTCGACGTTGTCATTCAACTTGCACCAAGCGTGGTGTAGTGGCGCAGGGAACCTAGTTCGCTGGCACATGAAGGCGGCCCACCCATTGGCAGCGAAAAACAGGCCGTCGGTTTTACGTCACGGGTAGGCGATCTCGCGTCATGTTCCTTATCAACACAAGAGCCGAAGTGAGTCATTTCCCTGCCAGTGCATAAGACAAGCATTCAAAGCCCACGTACAATCTACGGACAGCCAACGTCTCCCCGATAGCTTCCTACAGTGAGCGCATGAATAACCTAGATTTAAATCTCCGTAGAGACTTCCACCGGGGCTTCACGGTTGCTTCAGCACCGTTTGCCCTTCTCGGCATCGATTTTCTTCGCCATTTTGCATGGCTTGTCGACGCGGGTCGCCATAGAATATTAGGTGATCCTACCAAACGAGGCGCTGATGGAGTCCTTTCTGATTCCCCGATAAGCAGCCCTGTATTTCAGATCGCAGGCGCACCGCCCCACTACTTCAACCTCCTTTCCTAACAGTTGCGAATAGTTTGATCGGCTGCGGATCTTCCAACTGTCACGATAGGGGTCGCGAACAACAGAGCCAAGCGCGGTCAACCAGTTAGCGCACGGTCAAGTAGTT